CTCAGCCTGGACCCTGCCCTGAGTGAAATGACAGACTCTAGATATCCTCTATGTGGAAGGAATTGGCGATAGGGTGGGAGGCTCCGGGGTTTGGTGGTGGGGGGTGCGGGAGGAGGGGAGGGAGAGGGAACTGGGATTGACATGTGAAGCAAGCTATTTAAAATTAAAATAATAAAAAATTAAATGGAATATTCCAGAAATAAACAGTGCTTAAAATTAAAAAAAAAAATCTTTGTAGATGGTAATGAATAGTATTAGTTACCTAAGGATGGCATGGTCACTGGGTCGGTCTAGCATGGACTTCAGAGAAGACTACATTGAGCATCAATGAATAGAATGCTCTGCAGAGGGTACAAGAGTGATGTAGAGTGAGAAAAAATTCAATAAAGATTTAGACATTCACAGTTTGGTTATTGTGGGAATGAATTTAAGACAGCCCGGCAGAGATCAGTTAGGATCTGGAGAAGTATGGCCACACCTCACCTGCCCCATTCTCATCCGGTGGGCTCATAGGAGGCCAAGGAGTCAGTCAAATCTTTTAAATATTTATTTTATTGCAAGCTTCCAAGTTTAGCTTTCCAAAAAGTGTTTCAGAATGCAGTATCATCTTAAAAGTATCCTAGTTTTTACTTCATGATAAAATTGTGTGTGGTAAACATCACATTGTCTTCATACAAACCTCTTCAAATTGGATTCCAAGATCCCTTTGTTTATATCCCTTTACTAGCTTACTAGTTGTGCACTCTGCACAATTATCGCATTTGTCATATATAAGAAAGGAACAGACAAGACACTGTGTTTGTTTCCAAGTTAGCTAACTGCTTTCACTAATTTTATTTTCCCTAGTACTAAACCATTAAACATTCTTTTTGTTAATATACATTTATAAATTGATTTTCTCACCATGTAAGCTACTTTCTTAAGTAAATTAAGGACATGCAAGTTATGTCTGTTCTTTTCTTTCTATCTTTTTCTTTTCAATTATCTGGTACATTGAAGAGATATTCTGTGGCATCACATAGTCATCATGAATATTGAAAAGATACAGTCAGTTATCTGCATCTGTGGCTTCTGCATCCAAAAATTTAACAGAGTGCAGAAAGAAAATATTTGGTAAGGGGAAAAATCTGCCTGTATTGAACATGTATAAGCATTTTCTTTAAATGATATAACTGAGGGGCTGGAAAGATGGCTCTGTCATTAAGGGCACTGACTGATATTCCAGAGGATCTGAGTTTAATTCCCAGCACCCACATGGCAGCTCACAGCTGTCTGTAATGCCAAGATCTGACACCCTCATATAGACATACATCAGGCAAAACACCAATGTACATAAAATAAGAATAAATTATAAAGAAATATTTTTAAAAAGAATACAATTCAACAACTATTTATGCAGCATTTGTTATTTTATTAGCCATTGTAAGTCATTGAGAATTGACCTAAGGTAAAAATAGAGGTGGCTAGATTGCATGCAAGTTCTATAGTGTTATGTACAAGGTCAAGAAGCAACTAGAGATTTGGTGTGGCAGAGCCCCACATATAATATCTCATGGATTCAGACGGATAATGTTTTCCCTTATTCCCAAAGAAAATTTTAAATAAAAATTTGGATAGATTCAGTTACCCTATTAAAACACAAGACTTTTAAAACCATGATACCACATAATATTAAAATATATCTAAATCAAATATGACCTATTAAAAGAATTCTTCTTTCAAACTAGTGACCAGTTATCAGGTGCTATTGACTTGAAATTTCCAGAAATTTGAAATGGTTATAATAAATGTTCTGCTTACTTAGAGGCCCAATAGTAGTGATAATATTTACAAATCAGTAAACAGAATAAATGTACATGGAATTCAATTCTATAAACCCAAATATTGAAATTGACACTTCAAATATTATAATTTTGTAGTGCAAAATATAAATGTTCCTACCACTAATTTCTGTTAAAATTATTCAGTAGAGTCATATATAAATATTTTTCACCTTTTTTCAGAGAAAATAATGATAATACTAAATCTTGTAAAGGCATTTTTGCTTTCTTTTAGGCGTGGCTTCCTTTTCACTTTGGACTTTCTTGCCAATATGTCATCGTGTCTCCTTTCTCTTCCTCTAAAGTTTCTCCCATTGGCATGAGGCTGCTTGTCTACCATGTGTCTGACCTCTATGATGTAATAAAATTGGATGGACTTTCCTCTATTTTTCTTCTCCAGGCAGCTGCTAAGGTTTTACATCTTGTCTGTCTTGGGGTTTTTCTTTTAAACTCCAATAAAATTTTAACTTTAAAGAAAAAGAAAGAAAAGAAGAAAGAAATGATGGTTCTATAATCCCATAGGACATGAAGAGCTGCAGTGTAGAAGCTGAATAATGGTTAAAGTAAAAAAAAGTTTAATGAACAGTTGACCCGTGATATTATATATGACTGATATATTTAAAATTGTGTTTTAGTTTCAAATAATCATAGTATGTTTGCTAAAGAAATATATGAACTTAAAAACAGAATCCCTGTATGACATATATAGTTACAACATCAATATTGTTAACAAATTCATTCTGTTTCTACTATTATTTCTTTCTTGTTCTCAGTTTTCTCTGAAGTTGTGTTGTATTTGGAGAGGTGGTTCAGTAGATAGCAGTGTATACTGTTCTTTCAGAGCACCATAGTTCAGTCCTCAGCCCCCTTGTCAGGTGGCTCAAAACCCACAGTGATTTCAGTTGCATATTTCAGCACTGCTTGATCTGAAGACTCCTGACTCACACAGACACACAATGTATTTTGATCACATTTACTCTCACTTTCACCCTATTACTCCTTCCATACCCCCCATATCTTTGCCAAGTTTCAAGTGTTCTTCTTCTTCCCCTCTTGCTTCTCTTCTTTTTTCTTCTCCTCCTCTTTCATGAATTAACTCCAAATAGCTAACTGCATGTGCTTGAGTGGAGGGCCATCACGGATAATTGGCAACTTGCCAGGTACCACAATTCTGAAGACAGCTGACCCCACCTCACCTCAGTGGCCATCACCTTCTTCCATCCCTTTTGGAATTTTATCTGGTTTAATATCATGCAATTGTTACATGAGGGCCCACACCTTTTGTGAGATCATGATTGTCATTGTCCTCTTGCATCCCAAAGACATCTCTTTGTAGCATTCCTTGACCTTACAACTCTTCAGCTTTTGTCTGCTTGTTCTTCTCTTAGCCTTAGGCGATGGGATGTGATGTAGATCTCACACTGAAGGCCGAGCAGGCTGCTATCACTTCTTCTCTGTACTTTGGCCAGTTGTAGGACTTTCTAATAACTTCTTCCCAATGAAAGAGTGCTGCTGCCTTACGGGTATAAGGGTAAATATTTGTCTTATTTTTGTTTTTATTCTTTTTTGTTAAAGTTGACAAAACTTTTGATTAACAAATGTTATTGTTGGCACACAACATAAGCTCTTGATATATGCAAATATAGTGGTGTGAACTAACCAAGTAAATTATCACTTATAAGCTTTATCTTGGTCCTCAGATTTTGGAGTGAGAATTCTTAACATCTGCTTTTAGTAATTTTGCTGTTTGTAATGTATTGTTATTAGCTGTCCCACAATAACATGCAATATATATTGTATTATAATTACAATACTTATTCATGATTTTTTTCTTTGACAACTTCACACATGTATATGATGCATTTAGATTACTCCCCCTGGCCTTTACCCCTTCCATCCCTCCTAGTCCTCCTTCACCCATAGGAGTCTCTTTCCCATGTTCATCAGTTCTTATTTTGTTCCCCCCTGAGTTTAATCTGACAATGGGTACTGTAAAATATGTTGTTTAGCATATGGTGTCATAATATCATTAGCATACAAAATGCACCAAATTTGAAAACATTTCCTGAAGACAAGCAAAAGTACAAATGTCTATTTAATCTTTATGTACATCAGTATTCATACCTTGAAATTACTGATTTTGCTTCAAAGATTGAGGTTCTTAAATGTGTGTGTGTGTGTGTGTGTGTGTGTGTGTGTTTGTGTGTGTGTGTGTGTACACATTTTGTGATTTTTGAAACTGTTTCTTGGGTAATTTCTCAAAGCAGTTTGGATTCTATTGACTTAGAAACATATAGATTTTTGTTGAGTTCTATATGGCTCTAAATATCCATAGTTGTAGGTGTTTACTCATCTTTGTTGAGTGCACTCACTTACCTTAGTGTTTGGAATCTTAGCCTAGAATGCAGGTCTGCTCTCAGGTGAATTCTGCCATTCCAGACTAGGGGAATACTAAGCTGATAAAGGGAAAATGCTGGTTCTGATTTTACTTTTTGTAACATCTAAATACAATAAGCAATCAAAAAAATCAAATTTAATGTATACTTCCACTTGGTATTTTGTTGAATATGCAAATTGTCATAATTTTATGTTTTCCTGAAATAATATAAGTTACTATAAAATAATTGTTTATATTGTGGAATATTATACTTAAAATATTATGTATTTTAGCAACATCAGCTACCATTTATCTCTAATGCCATTATTCAAGCTCAGCTTAAATTCTTCAAGCATTTGCACTCAGAAACCTGTAATGGCACTACAGCTTATCTTAAATCTTATCTCATAAGTTTTAATGCAGTTATTTCTTATATTTTTTAATCTTTGCGTATTTTCCTTAACCTTCAACAAATCTAATAAATAATTAAAATCAGAATAACTTGCTATATAAAAAACTGATTTGTACAAAGAGATAGTTAAATCTACCATCAACATTAATGTCATTTAAAGCATGTATTATGTTTTATGCATTTTGTGAAAACAACTACAGTTGGTTATTATGCTCATAAATCTGAATGTCTAGCCTTATTGAAAAGGGTTTTAAAAAAGGTAAACTGTTTCTTGATCTGAACAGTTCTCATATTTTAATTTTGTCCATAGAGTTCACATCGGTCGTGACGTTGCTAGCATGCTTGGTTTGTCATATGAGTTTTAAAGCATGGCTTTATATTTTGGTGACAGATCTTCCACATGACATATGACCTCGCTAGTGCAGTGGTGAGGATCTTCAATCTCATTGGCATGATGCTGCTCCTGTGTCATTGGGATGGCTGTCTTCAGTTCCTGGTTCCCCTGCTCCAGGACTTCCCACCTGATTGCTGGGTTTCTCTAAACGAAATGGTTGTAAGTACCTCATGACCTTTATTTTTTTTTCATTTTCATATTTGTACCAAAAATTTTTAACTATTTCTGTTGTTATGGTTTCCTTTTTCTTCCATAAGGGCTTTGCTTCCAGGGATGTGGAATTAGATGACCAAGACTCTCTAGCATGAAACCTTAGTCTTGTATTCCTGGGAATGTAAATGGTGCTGTATCTATGTTTTATAAAATTTGCTTCAAATTCTGAGATATACTTTATATAAGTAATAGAAACACACATACATAAGTATGATACAATGTGCTTTCAAATATTTTTATATTTGTGAATTTGGAATGTATGAAATTCAAGGATATCTTAGTATGTTTTGTGGTTAGAACAAAGAAAAATTAATGGGAAAGATAAATTTTAATCGTTATTATGCAATATATGTACATATTTTTAAATTTTAAATATGACTTTATTTAACCAAGCATATTAATATAAAATTTTAAGATAATATACACTTATATTAGATTTAGCATTAAATTGAATGTGATCTTCATTCCATTCACATCCACTTAAATACTACTTCCTCAGAAAGTTATCTAAAACCATTGTTTAAACCATGTATCTCTCTCCTGGTTGATATTTAATTATAAGCACATTGAGTTTTTTGTAACCTACACACACATATTCACAAACATATACATTTATGTATAAATTTTCTGACCTTCAATTTGCATTCGAAGATAATTTTTCTTTGCCATCAGTGTTACCCAAGCCTGTTTGTACTGTTATATAAGAATATTAGACTAGGCAATTTATAAAATACATAAATTTATTTCTCATAATTTGGGAGTCTGTGAGGCTCAAGACCAGGGTGTTTCATGTTAAGTCTCCAGTTGCAAAATGGCAGTTTGAATATGAATCTTCTAGAGAGAAGGAAAACTATTTCTACATGGGAGAAGTAATATTTTCACAATGCTGACCCCTCATGACCTACCCAACTTCCATTAATTTCCTTCTGCCAACCTTGTTGAGTCTTCAATTAAGTTTTCAAAAGACAAATTTTGGGAAACAAACAGAACAACAGAAATTGGCTAAGAATATGCCTGACACATTGATTTCTTTTAACCTATTGCCCATCATCAAAACTTGGTAAATATTCCCCATTAACGTTTATGTAGATTAATGCAAACAGTTTGTATGGGTTGGACCACTTTTCAAATCTCTAATGCTGCCTTCATCTGTCCAGTCACTTCTCTGAAGTGTAGAGTAGAAAGATGAAAATTGATACCAGAGATGGTTCATCACTGGCACAAATGCAATATTTAATTTGACAGATAATTGTTACTTAAAATTTGTCTAGCTATGTTCCATAAAAACTGCAGTTGGCATCATTTAAAAAGTAAAAGAAATCTTTTCAAGTATCTAAAAATTCACACAATTTGTATAATCATATTACATGGGCAATATATTATTATTTAGCGCTGAGAACACTTTTTAAGCATTTTATGTTTTTGTTTTCTTTAAGCATGGCTACATAAAATTGTGCATGTCAGAGATAGAGAGACAGAGAGACAGAGAGACAGAGGGGTATTACAGGTATCAGTGTATGCTGTGCTCTGTGTAAATTAATGTGGTTAAAAACATCCACAATCATTATCTCCGCTTCTTACATAAAATAATCTTAGGAGGCTGCAAATCACTTCTTTATCTCTTTTGTTTATTTTTTTCAAAAAACTGGTATTTTCAGAAAGTATGTGAATGGCTGTTACTCAGAATACAGAATCATAGGTACAGTTCATGTGTATCTGACTCCAAAATATCTATTCTAAATCACACTGAAATGTCTTTGACACAAGATTACATAGAACAGTTAAGAAAGATGATCAAAAAGCAACATAAATCACAGTAACAGTATCTGTTCTAATCCAGGGTTTGATTCCTGATACTAAAATAAAATAAAATAATAAAAAGACCAAACTAATTTTTCTCTATTTGTGGAAAAATCTAATTTGAAAGTAAAAACTTGAAACTAGAAATCAAGTTGTATATAAGTAAGGCACATGAGCCCTTCATAAATATGGCATAAATATGCTATGATATTTGTCTTTGGCAATAAATTAATTGCATGCCCTTAAGTATTATTAAGAACTGCATACATATTAAAAATCTGTATCCAAATTTGGTATATATCCTGACATTTTATCTTTATATCCAGTTAGCTAGTTATTAGCATATAACCTATGATAATAAATTCCTGCTCCAGTCTTTGATTAGAAATTTGAAGTTATCACCATAACTGTGTTACACATTTTTACTGTTTAATATATTATTGGTTTAATATAATCATTTCTATATTAATTTTTTCTAACTTATATTTTGTTCCATGTAAATAATCTAATTTCTTTGTTCATTAATTTATAAATTTTAACACTATGTTGAAGAAGTCAATACATGAACTTAGTGGGTGACTTAAAATGAAGACAAAGGAGAATCTGACTCGGGAGATGAAGCAATAACAGGATTCATCTTGTTAGACATTTGTAATATTTGCTTTTATACCATTTATGAACCAAATTTGAATTACAAAATCCTGTCGGAATTAAGATCTTAGGCTTGGCAGTTCATTAATGTCTAGGAAAATGTGTTACATTCCCATAATATCGTGTGGTTGTGCTTGCCTGCAGAAAGCACTGAGAATATATTAATTTATTATGAAATGATTAAGGGTAAAATCATTGGATAAATTACAAATGAGAAATATTAATTTTAAGAATATGACAAGATAAGACCATAGTATAATTTAAATTGCTTATTAATTACCTGAATCTAAAATACTTTCACACCAAATGAAATGTCGTTATGACATGAATATCATGCAATGAAATATTACTTTTCTAGAACAAGATTTTCCATGATTGAGGCTGTAGGATTACACTTTGGCAGTCCATATCTTCTACCTATAGTCTTTCAGATGATAACACGTTGGTTATCATGACAAGGGCTTTAATGTAAGCATCTTAGTACTTCAAAATGTTTTGTACTATCCACATATGGAATTTGGATTTATATCACGTAAAGTTAGTTTAAGGACATGCTATTCAAATAATCCATAGAATCAGTTGGGGATAAATGACGTGTTAAATGATTTGCTACATTTTTGTTGCACTAAAATGGAGACTGTATTAGAAACTTGAGGTGCATAGTACACAGTACTGTTCTTGTGAATCATGCCTTAGAAAAATCTAATCACATCATAAAAGTATATTTATAATGGAGGAATTCACTTGGTTACAGTAAGTATTCTGAATTAAGTGCATTTACAATAAATTGTGTTTGTTTTACTATTTTGGTAGCATTTGATTTAAAATTTTCATTTAGAAAACTATATGAGATTATTTGTTAATAATTTTTTATTTTTTAAAACAATATTATTTAATTGTATGCACCAATCCTAATTCCCTCTCCCACCCCTCTTCCCACTCTCTTCAGCATCCCCCACCACCACTGCAGCACCCCATCTTCTCAGAGAGGATGAGGGAGTCCCCATCCTCTGATGGGGAGTCAACAAAGTCTGCCACATCACACTGAAGCAGGACCAAGTCCCTCCCCATGTATCTAGGCTAAGCAGAGTATCCCTCCATAGGGAATGGGCTCCAAAAAGCCAATTCATGCACCAGGGATAAACTGCCCTATAAACTGCCCAAGCCACACAACTGTCATCCACATTCAAAGGGCCTAGTTCAGTCCTGTGCAAGCTCCCTAGCTGTCAGCCTGGACTCAGTGAGTTCCTACTTGCTGGGGTCAGCTGTTTCTGTAGGTTTCCTTAGCATGGTCTTGGCATCTTTGTTAATATTCTTGCTTCTCCCCCTTTTCAACTGAACTCTGGGAGCTTGGCCCGTTTCTTAGCTGTGAATCTCTTCATCTGCTTCCGTCAGTTACTTGATGAAGGTTCTCTGACAATTAATGTAGTCATCGATAGGGAAGGCCTGTTCAGGGAACCTCTTCACTATTGCTTACTTTTTAAATATTGAATATCTCCCCTTTTATTGAAAATAGATTTTTTTCTCAATAATATACCTGATAACAGTCCCCATTTCTCCCATTTGCTCCTCTCCTCTCCTCCCATCCAAAACCTCCCCGTTTCTGTTTCTCATTAGAATACAAACAGGCAGCCTGGAGACTTGGTTGAGCTACTAAAGGCTAGGTATCACAACTAAAAATAAAAGGATATAAACAGGCTTCTAAGGGATAAAAATATGATAGCACATTTTATAAGATAAGACAAAGACTAACACATCAGAATTTGTCATGACAAGGAAACAAAAGAAACACAGGTCAAGAGAAGGCACAATGAACAGACCAACTCATTCATGCACTCAGGAATCCCATAGAAACACTAAAGTCATAGTATGTATACAAAGGACCTGCATGTTAAAAGAGAGAAAAATAAAAATAAATAAAAATGAAAAACAGTAATTATTAAAAAAAAACAAGTCTTGACAAAACGTTATGAGACTAGGAACCTCCAAAGATGCTGTTGAGTTCATGTTGTTTTGGTCATCTATTACTGTATATGTAGACTACCCTCTACAGTAGTTTTGTTTCCCCAGTGAATCCCCCTCAGGGAGAACTAAGATTTAATTTGCAAGTGGTTATAAGTTAGGATTAATTCTGGTTTATGGCTACGGGTATGTGTCCATGTTTTTCATCTAGGACCCTTTTTAGTACAGACCTATGGAGAACCTGTGCATGTTGTCTCATTCTCCGTGAGTTCATAAATGCATTGATCCTGTTGATTTAGAGGGCCTCATTTTCTTGGTGTCCTCATCTCCTATAGCTATTATACTATTTCTGCCTTCACTTCTGTAGAGTTAATTGAGTCCTGGAGTGAGGGATGTGATCTATCACTCTCTGAATTATATCTCAGTATTTGTTCCAATCTGCTGGTAGGGGAAAACATTGCTCTGATGATGACTGAGCAAACCCCTGATACATGAGTATAGAATACTATCATCAGGAGTCATTTTCTTGCTAC